GCGTGCTTTTAATTTTAGAACCTGAGCATCAGCATTATCCTTCTCCTTTTGAGAATTCTCTGTGACCAGAGAAGCATTGGAAGTTCATAGCTTGGTTTTATGCCAAGCAAAGAATTAAATCAGTGATTCCTACTTCTGTAGTGGGAATACTTTCATGTTAGCTGGATTTTGGAATTCTTTCCCTGGCCCAGACTCTTCTCCTCCCCAAAAGAAATGCCATTTCACATATATTTATACTGAAAGCTAATGTAAACTGAAATTAATTTTTCAAGAATTTCCTGATATCCCTGGAAAAAAATCAAGAAAGCCAATGGGATATTATAAAACCAGAATTAAGAATCACTCTTTCAGTGTATTGAATTCCAACAAAGGCTTCTGGTGAGAGTGTAACGATCTGAAGAAAACAAGATGCATACATTTCTCTTCTGTCATAGGTTCCTCTCTACTCTTAGGAAACAGTTTAATGGAGGTAACTGAAGAGAAAAAAAGAATACAAACTCAGATTTGGATTATATGCTAGATCTTGAAAATATTCTTTCCATATTGCCTGAGGCTCTACATAAAAATCATTAATAGAGGAATAGCTTCTCTTTCAAATGCCATGGAAATTACTGAAGCTATTTTCTTTGTTCACATTGTTGATTGATAAGTTCAAAGACTCTGGATGCATTTCTTGGAAAAACAACAAATAATTTGACATTTTTTCCTTATTGTCCATTCAGTGAAGTGAATTTGTGCAATGTTATATTCTTAAGAAATATGCCAGTGAACTTTTGAATTGCATTCTATATGATCTCATTTTGGGCATTTGTTGAGACCTGCATGAGAAAAATAAATACAAACTGCACTCTTAGTACTATTCTGATTAGGATCTCTTTCCTCTCCCTTTTACAGTGAAATGACAGACTTGAAGTAGGCATTCCCACTAAAGCTTTTCTGAAACTCTTTTTAAGTCATTGTTCAAAGCCATCCTATCTACCCTCAAGTCCATTATCATTTTTCCTCTAATATAACTCTCTTTATTCTTCAGTTCCAATTTATTTGTTTCTTTATTGGTCATGTGTTTGTTTTTGTCTTATCTCCTTTTCCTGTTAGATTGTCACTTCCTTAAAGTTAGAGACCATGTCTAGATCTAATGCACATATACAGAAAATACTTATGAACAATATTATTATGTAGAACCCATTTGCCCTGAACCTTGCCTGAGTTTGTTTTTGCTATACAGAAATGTGTCCTGTTTATGGAGCACTGTGTGATCTAATTGATTGAACAGAATATTAGATTGAACAGAGCAATTGGCAGAAAATAGATTTAGAATTCAGATCCAGTCCATCTACTAACTGTGAGACTTAGATGGATGAAACCTCTGCTTAATATCTTGGGCATGGGAGGTACATGGCCTAACACTCATCCTGATCACTTTACAAGACTAATTAACAGCATAAGTACATCAGAAAATATATCAGACATGGATAAAGAAGATGTGGTATGTGTGTATATTTTTGATAGATGATAGATACAGATATAGATACACAATGGAATATTACTCAGCCATCAAAAAAATGAAATCTTGCCATTAGCAATTACATGGATAGAGCTAGTGTGTATCATGCTAAGGTGAAATAAGTCTGTCAGAGAAAGACAAATACTGTATGATCTCACTCATATGTGGAATTTAAGAAAGAAAACAGATGAACATATGAAGAAGGGGGAAAGAATAAAAGAAGAAGAGAGGGAAACAAACCAATAAGAGGCTCCTAACAATAGAGAACAAACTGAGGGTTGATGGAGGGATGTGGGTGGGGGCTGGACTAGATGGGAAATGGGTAAGAGGACACTTGTTTTTATAGCACCGGGTGTTGTATCGGTGATGAATCACTGAATTCTACTCCAGAAACCAATATTGCACTATATGTTAACTCAGTAAAATTTAAATTAAAAAAATATATCAGAAAGTGCTTTGTAAATTAAACACCATATAAATATGAGGTTCTTCAGATGTGATTACATTTGCACTTCCAACATTCAGAAGAAAATTCTTTTCCTGAAAGCTTCCTTTGTAAGTTTGCAGATATAGCCACAAAGTACTTTGGCCTTTGTCAGTATAGTAAAAAATGCTAGCCTTTAGACAGATGTAATTTATTGGAGAAAATGATATTAGCTCATGTTTATGTTTTTTTAATTAAAATAGAACATTTTATTAAAATAGCTAAACCTAATAATACAAATATTATATTAATATTATACACACAGCAAAATTCCAAAGCACCTAATATAGTACTCACTAATTATTGACTGTTATAATCCTCATTATTGCTTTAAAGCAGCTTTATTGAGATATAATTCACATACCATACACTTCACCCATTAACATGTACAACTCAGTAATTTTTAGAATATTCACAGAGTTGTAACAAAATCAATTTTAGAACATATTCATTACCTCAAAAAAAAATATTTAGCTATCATCCCCCAACTCCTCTATTCTCACTCCCAGCCCTAGGCAACCACTAATGCATTTTCTGTTTCAATACATTTGCCTATTCTGGACATTTCATGTTAATGGACTCATACAATGATTTTTTGTGTCTGACTTCTTTCCCTTAGCATAACAGTTTCAAGGTTCATCCATTTTGTAGCATATATCAATATTCCGTTCCTTTTTTGTGGTCAAATATATGTAACATAAAATTTACCATTTAACAATTTTTAAGGATACAATTTGGTGGTATGAAATTCATTCACAATGTTTTGCAACTGTCACTACTCTCCATTTCTAAGACTTTTAACCTCCCAAAGAGAAACTCTCTATTCATTAAACTATAACTCCCCTTTCCCCACTCCCACCAGCTACTGGTAGCCACTCTTCTAATTTCTGTCTCTATGACTTTGCCTCTTCTAGGTTCCTCATATAAATAGAATCATACAACATTGGTCTTTTTGTATCTGGCTTATTTTAATTAGCATTATGTTGTAACGTTCATAAATATTGAAGTACATATCAGTACTTCATTCTTTTTATGGATGAATCATATTGTAGGGATATACCATATATTATCCATTCATTAGTTTATGGATGTTTGAGTTGTTTCCACTTTGGGCTGTTATGAATAATACTGTGAACATCCACGTATACATTTTAATGAAAATATATTTTCATCTCTCTTAGGTATAGACCCAAGTGTGAAATTCAGGATCAAACAATTATTCTGTGTTCTCTCTTTTGAGGAATTTCCAGACTGCTTTCCAAAGCAGCTGCACAATTTTACAGTCCCACTAGTAGTATATGAGGGTTCCCATTTCTCCATATCCTCACCAACACTTGTTATTATCTATCTTTTTTATTATAGCCATCTAGTCAGTATGAAGTAGTCTCTCGTTGTGGTTTTGCTTTATGTTTCCCTGATGATTAATAATGTTAAGCATCTTTTCATGTGCTCATAGGCTCTTTGTATACAATCTTTGGAGAAATGTCTACTCAGATCTTTTGCCCATTTTTGAAGTGGGTTATTTTTCTTTTTATTCTTGAGTTCTTTTTTAAATCATATTTATTTGATAGAGAGAGAGCATGAGCAGGAGGGACCAAGGGAGAGGGAGAGAAAACCTCAAGCAGACTCCACACTGAGTGTGGAGCCCAGTGAAGGGTGTAATCTCATGACCCTAAGATCACTACCTGAGCTGAAACCAAGAGTTGACACTTAACCAACGGCATCATCCAGGTGGCCCATCTTTTTATTATTGAATTCTCTATATATTCTGGATTGAATTCTTGTAAGATACATGATTTGTAAATATTCCCTCCCATTCTGTAGGTAGTCTTTTTACTTTCTCATTGTTATCATTTGCAGCATGTAAGTTTTTAATTTTGATGAAATCCACTGTATCTGTTTTTTCTTTTGTCACTTGTGTTCATCATTATTTTTATTGCTTCTGTTATAACTTAAAAAAGAAAAATCCAAGGTATATTTTTTACTCCCCATGTGATTTGATGTTCAGTCGCAACTCAAACAGCTCTGATTTTACCATGATTTCAGGTCTCCGTAGTTTCTTTGACAGTGGTGGTCTACCTTTGTCACATTAGTTTCCCTACAGAACTGAGTGGTCTAAACTGGGAAACAAGAAGTCACTACTTCCTCTCCCTCACCCTTTTGTAAGGACCACTTCTTTCTATGATTCAGTTGGCAGAAATTGAGTAAGATTATAGTATATTGATATCTGTGCTTTAACATCTAACCAATATACTTGGTCTCTTTATTAAATTGATTGAATTTTGCCTACAAAGACCTACTATAGTAAGTATGCTATAACACTTAACTATGATGTTAACTGTTAGGCTCTAATAACCCATGTTTTCTTCTGAATAACTTAGTCATATAGAGTATGGCAGCAAAAGAATTTGAGCTCATTACAACATAAGATCAAATTTCTGCCAAAACAAAACTCTTACACATTTAAATCAAAAACCTTCAATGACCTCTAGGGTTTCTTCCAACTATGAAATTATGTTCATTTTAGGCCGACTTAAAGTTGTTTCATAAAACTATTTAACCTATCTAATTCATTTATTATGGACTAAATAAACCAAGTGCTGTGATATAGACCTCAGACTCAGTTCTAAAAATAACTTTCATCTATTGTATTCCTACTATGATCTGGACATTGTGCTAGGCATTCTATTTTTGTTTTGTTTTTTTTTTTATTAAGATTATTTATTTATTTATTTGACAGACAGAGATTACAAGTAGGCAGAGAGGCAGACAGAGAGAGAGAGAGAGGAGGAAGCAGGCTCCCTGCTGAGCAGAGAGCCCGATGCGGGGCTCGATCCCAGGAACCTGGGATCATGACCTGAGCCGAAGGCAGAGGCTTTAACCCACTGAGCCACCCAGGCGCCCCTGTGCTAGGCATTCTAATCCTCACATTACTCTTGCACATGAAATGGAGGGTATTCTCATTTTACATACAAACAGAATATCAACCTCAGAAATCCTAAGTAATTTGAGCAGAGGGTGCAGGTGGTCAGAAAAGATAAGAACAAAAATGAAGTCTTCCTGTGTTAGTTTGCCCCTCTTGGCAGATGTTCATTTTGCCTTTTGATGCTTCCAGACCTAATCTTAACCTTAAAGTATTAATGTTGACCTGTTCTTACCTGAGTATTGGGTACCCTTTTTAAAAGAGCTTTTTGGCTGGAAACTTCTTCTAGCCATAAGCATTCCACTAGGGTTGCAGGGCATGAACTTACTTTAGTGTTTCTGGGTGGAAGAAGCCAAAAGTGAATTTTTAAGTTTTTATTTAAATTCCAGTTAGTTAACTGACAGTGTAATATTAGTTTCAGGTGGACAATATAGTGATTCAACACTGCCATATATCATAAAAGTGAGGTTTTTTTAAATGAAAATTTAGAATCTTAGTAAAGCCACCCATTCCCCATACACCCATTCCCAAACTACTGTCTTGGTGATGTTCATCTCTCTTTACCATTAATGAGATGATGAGATAAGACCTTGGACATTATACTAGTGGTATACAGTATCATTAATACCCCATTACAACTCAAAATTTGGGTTCAATTTCCCCATTCATACACAAAAACGCAATCTTGTACTATAGAAACAAACTTGTACTATAAAATATAAGAGAACTGAGCAAGAGATATTTCAGTTGCATTGCAAAATTTTTTAAATTGTTGTTTTTTCCTTTGAGCATCGTGGGCTTCTATTCTGAAGACTGGGGGTAGTAACTATAAATATCAGGATAAAATGAGCATTTCAGTATTTTCCTGTTCCAAATGAATGATAGGTTCTTTGTCCCACTAGCTGTAACATGCGTAAGTACAGGGATTGAATTTAAGGCATGGGAGAAGGAGGAAACAAGTTGTTACATGGTCAAGTGGGAGAAATATTGGATGAATATAGACATAATTGTCAGAGGCTAGTCATGTTCCTCAGAAGCTTTTTCAGAGTTGTTGAACACCAAATTTAGGCCCTTACTTTATGTGTAAAGAATTCAGTGAATTCTCATAACCATCCTGTAAAGTCAATATGATTGTTCTCATTTTACAGATGAGCAAACTGTGGCTTGGAAAAATTAATTAGCCCAAAGCCACACAACTAGTTAGTAGCATATTCAGTAATTAATCCACGGTCTTTTTTACTCCAAAGTTCTTTCAAATACGCTGCTCCAAGTGACTTAGCATGGTCAGACACTTGGTTTTTTCCTTGTAATATTTAATGCTATAATCAGTCTGGTACCAGTAATGCAGCAACATCTGAAGCATTCTGGTTTGAGGGGGAGGAGAGAGTTTAAGGACCAGAAAATGACATATAAGAAAGGGTTTTTAAATTGAAGACATTGGCCTTTTCTGAAACATTGAATTTGAGTTATATAGTTTACACCAAGAATCCCAACAAGTAAAAGTCACTACTACTTTGAGTTGAGAACGTGTGTATGGGAAAAATGTTCTGCTGTTGCTTTTGAGACTTAAAGCTGCTGCTATGACAATACCCTAGGAGAAACTACTTCCACCAGTCTTACTTTTACTTAACAATAACTGTGAATGTCAAATCTTGTTTTATGTACATGGAGCCAAAGTTTCCCTGCCACTTATATCTTTCCCCCAAGAAACAAAAAGCTTTATAAACCCACAAAAGAGAACTTGGACCACACCGAGAGTAATTGGTTTAACATTCCACAAAATTTCCCTTAAAATTAGGAAAGGTATTTTGCACTGCCTTTCATAAACCTAGTAAATTTCCATCTCTTTAAGTTTTCCTAGACACTCTTTCAGTATGGTTTATTTCTTAAATCATTACTATTGTCAGAAATCCACTTAGATGTCAAAAAAAATCAATTTTTGAGGATATTGTATGCTCTGCTGATTTTTTTTCTTAAAAACAAAATAGAAGGACTTACGTTTCTGTCAAGATGAAGAAACCTCATTCCTTCTAGGTTTTTCCTCTTACACTAACATCCCTTGGGCATTAGACACACAAACAAGACTGAAAAGTGGAAACAACAGGCAGATGGCCTCAGAACTTGAGGAACAATACAGTGGTACACTCCCTGGGTTTCCTTTTTATCTCCCATATATCCCAGACAGGTCACTACAGAAGCCTCCAGTCCACAACTGCCAACAGGCACAGACAAAAACATCTCTAAGAAAAGCCTGATCCCCATATCTAAAGGAAAGGAGGAAAGGGTTGCCTAACAACAGAAAACCTTTTTGACAATACCCGCTCTACTGTAGCCAAATACCAACAGAAAAATCACACCCTCCCCACTGCCCCCTTATTTCAATGGAGCCTAATAGGAAGGAATATTTCACTCCACTCCTTCCCACAAAAAAGCAGGCAGCATGCTCCTATCCCACTGTTGGGGTGGTGTTGGCAGAATTGGACAGACAGTCTTTCTAATCCCCTATTTGGCAGAACTAGGTGGTGCTCCTATTCTCCTTCCAGAGTATTGTCATCCCAGTCCAGTGGCAAGCTAAGCTGCCTCATTCTCAGCCAGAAGCAAAAAGAATTAACAACTAGGTGCAATGCAGGGCTAGTCACCACTGGACTCCATCACCATCTCTGTATTAATGGGGCCCAGTGGAGAGGCTGAGCTTCCACCCCCTTCACATTAAAGAGACTGAATAAAGGGATGCATATCAAGGCTAGTAAACACTCTGCTTCCCCCCCCACCCCGCCCCTGTTGTCAGGGACACCCAGTGGGAAGCTGCAACTGTACACCCATCTGGCAGCAATGAGACTGAAAGAGGCAGTGTGAACCAAGGTTAGTCAGCACTCCTATGCCTCACTGCATCCATTTTCAGGGGGGCCCAGTGGAAAGCAGAGTCTTTATCCCCAGTCAGCATCAATGAGTCTTACATTAATGAGGTGGTAAAGGTAGAGCTAGTTGGTACTTTTCTTTCCCTTCCACTGGTGTCAGCAGGTCCCATGAGAGAACTGAGCTTATACTTCCATTCAAAGATAACAAAAGCCAGAAAAAAAAGGTAACAAAACCCAGAAGCCCTGTGGATCAGTGGCCCACTTTCACTGGGATAGTGTCAGCAGAGGCAGAGAGGTAGCTGAACTTCCATTCCACCCATTTGCAACAAGGAAGTATGAGTCAGTGCCCCACTTTTACCAAGGTCATGTCAGTGAGATGCAGCAGGATCATGCAGACATACTCAATTCTCACATTATACCTCGACACCACCTCCTTAAAAAGAATATTAAATATAATCTTGTCTAATAATACAGTATCCCAAAACCTCCCATTTTTAAAAAGAAATAACTCATGAATGAGAACAGACACCAACACTCAGATGAAACAGATTTTATCTGACAATGATTATAAAGCACCCATAATAAAAATGATCCAACAAGTAATTACAAATTTTTTGAAAAAAAAACATACAAAATCTCAGCAAAGAAATAGAAATTATTTTTTAAAAAGAAACAAATCAAAAATATAGAATCAAAAAATAAATGAAACAAATTCAGTGAATGGGCTCAATAGTAGAGTGGAGATAACAGATGATAGAATCAGTGGGCTTGAGGTCAGAGCAGTAGAATTTACTCAGTCTGAACAACAAAGAGAAACTAGACTGGAAAAAAAAAATGAACAAAGCCTCAGGGAATCTGTGGGATAATAACAAAAGTTTTGCATTCATATCATCAGTGTCCAAAAGGAAAAAAGAGAAAAAGAAGTACTGAAAGAGGACTTGAAGAAATGGCTGATTTTAAAAGGATAGAAATTCTGATGTGCTAAAACATGGATGAGTCATAAGGACATTATACTAAGTGAAATAAGCCAGTCACAAAAAGACAAATACTGCATGACTCCACTCATATGAGGTACTCAGAGTAGTCAAATTCAGAGAGAATTGGATGATAACTGACAGGCGCTAGGGGTAGAGGGAAATGAAGAGCTGTTTCATGGGCATAGAGTTTTAGTTTTGCAAGATTAAAAGAGTTTTGGAGATTGAGTGTACAAAAGTGTGGAGGTAATTAACCCTACTGAACTATACACTTAAAATGGTTAACATGGTAAATTTTATGTTATGTGTATTTTATCACAATTAAATTTTTAAAGAAATTCTTAAAAAGTAATGATGGCTAAAAACCTGAAATTGGCAAAATACATATTCAAGAAGATAAGTGAAATACAAATATAATAAACCCAAATAAATCCATGCTAAGACACATAATAATTAAACTTCTGAAAACTAAAGATATTTTTAAAATTTTGAGAACATCCCAGAAAAAAATTATGCTTATAAGGGAACACAAGTTAGACTGTCAACAGATTTTTTTTATTTAAAAGTATAGAGGCCAGAAGGAAATGGTACAATATTTTTCAAATGCTGAAAAATGGTCAACCACAGGTCTGTATCAAGAAAAATCCCTTCAGGAATTAAGAGAAAATAAAGGAATTTTTAGATGAAGAAGAATATTTGTTGCTAGCAAACCTGCACTTAAAGATTGGCTAAAAGAGGGGCGCCTGGGTGGCTCAGTGGTTAAATCCTCTGCCTTCGGCTCAGGTCCTGATCTCAGGGTCCCGGGATCGAGTCCCGCATCGGGCTCTCTGCTCAGCAGGGAGCCTGCCTCCTCCTCTCTCTCTCTGCCTGCCTCTCTGCCTACTTGTGATCTGTCAAATAAATTTTAAAAAAAATCTTTAAAAAAAAAAGATTGGCTAAAAGAAGTTCTATTAACAGAAATGTTAACAGAATAAGGCTCAGAACTTCAGAAAAGAAAGAAGTACACCTTTATGGTGAAAAGAGGAGTAAACATAATAGACTGTGCTAGTTCTTGTGAATTTCTAAAATCATTTCTGATGGTTGAAGCAAAAATTATAATACCATAAGATGTGGCCAAATGTATGTAGAGGAAATACTTAAGGCAATTAAGATATATTTATATTGAAAAAGAAGGGAGAGTACTCAACATCATTAGCTATAAAGGAAACATAACTCAGAACCATAGTGAGATACAACTTCATACCCACTAGGGTGGCTATAATCAAAAAGACA